CTGGGCAAGTATTGACTTTTTTTTTTAAAGGAAAAACTTTTCTTTACTAATAATAATAAAACTAAAAATAAAATTTTTATTATTATAATTACCATGTTATAGTATATATGTACCAGATGAGGGCTATTTGAAAAAATGTTATGACCTTTGTAAAAAACATAATGTTTTATTTATTGGAGATGAAATTCAAACAGGATTAGCCCGTACAGGCAAAATGATTTGTTGTGAACATGAGGGAATACAACCAGACATATTATTATTGGGTAAAGCACTGTCTGGAGGAGTTTATCCAGTATCAGCTGTTTTGGCTAATAAAGAAATTATGTTGTGTATTAAACCTGGTGAACATGGATCAACATATGGTGGTAATCCACTAGGATGTGCAACAGCAATAGCAGCACTTGAAGTGATTAAAGAAGAAAATCATGTGGAAAAATCAGCTGTATTGGGAGAGAAATTCCGTAAAGCTTTGCAAGGTATCAATTCACCATTGATTGAAAAAGTGAGAGGGAAGGGTTTATTAAACGCAATAGTGATTAATGAGAAGACTGATAAAAGTGCATGGCAAATATGTTTATTACTTAAGTCACGAGGTTTATTGGCTAAACCAACTCATCGTAATATTATTCGATTGGCACCACCATTATGTATCAGCTCTGAGGAGTTGATTCTGTGTTGAATTTATTGAATCTGTGGATACACTTTTTGAATGTTTAACAAATGTATTTCTAAAATTTGTTAATGTTGCATCAAAATCATTACTGTGACTTCGACTACGACGAACAGGTTGTAAATCCAAACTTAATTTTGGATTAAGGCGTTTTTTCTCTTGTTTTGACACCATTTGGTCATTCTCTTTGATTGTTTTTAAAGATGATGATGACCCAGCACCATCAACTATTTGTCTTGTATTAACATTAGATGACAAGTAATTAATATTATCAACTGACGTTGCTTTTTTTAATTGTTTATTATCACTATTATTTTGTGAATCAAACTGATAATCCACTTCTTCTTCACTGCTAATATAATAATAATGTTGATATATATTTGATCATTTCCTATTAATAAATATTTATATGTAAATATCTTAAAACCAACCTGCTATTTTTGCCTTCATCTAACTCAGTTTGATCTAAGATAAAAATAGAAAATAATTAAATTATTAATTCATGCCTTTTTGCGTGCAAAAATTAATTTAATAAGCTTGCCTGAATTTTGTCTAAGATATTCCTTTAAATTTTCTAACCAAGGTAGCATAACATCTTTATCTTCGCCTTTTGGCATCATATGGATAACTTTTGGTGGAAATTTAATTGGATTGTAATCAATTTTTAAATATTGCAAATCTTTCATATCTGCAAAATATTTTGGTATTCTTTTTATTTGATTTTTTGAAATTTTCAGCAACTAATTTTTTTAATAAAAAAAAAGTTGTTTTTTTTAATAAAATTTCTCTTTTACTATTTACCATCAATTTTATTACCTGTAATGTCATCAATTTTCCAAAATCTTGGGGTAGTTTACGAATTTTATTTTTACTAATATCCAAGATTTTTAAACTTGGCATTAAACAAAGCTTATTTTTTTAAATATATACATATACATTAGCATATATATTCAAATAATTTTAATTTTAAATGAAATAATAAAAATAAAATAGATCAATTATTACTGCTTCTGGAAATTCCATAAAAAGGTTTTGAGAAAGATTAAGATATCTTAAATGTGTAAAATTAGACATTTCATTTGGAAGTTTTGACAATTGATTGCTTTCAATTGACAATCTATTTATTTATTACATGCAAATAAAATAAAAAAAATGGGTTAAATCTTTTTGATAATCGATTACACTCTAAAAAATTTAATCATTCATTACCTATCAACATTATAATTATTTGCATAGTTTATAACTTCAACAGGAAGTTCGCTTATCTTTTTTTTTGCTAGTTTGACGGTTATAGTTTCATTAAACGATTCCTCCACTAATTTAAGCAACCTTTTTACTTCTTCTTCAGACATCTTATAATTAATTTAATAATATGCAAAATACTACACGAATTAGTGTTACACGACTTTTAAGGAAAAGATAGATCGCTATTTTATATTTTACATATTAACCTCAAAACTTGGAAATTTTTGTAAATGATATTACTCAAAAATATGTAACAAGAATGAACTTTGCACTTTATGTAACTTTTTACATTATAGATATTCTTTTGGGTTGGGCATGTTTGTAGTTTTAACAACTCACTCGGACAAATAATTACTATTACTTTATG